GGGCTATGAAAACATGGTAAGGACGACTTGGGCTCTTCGCCACAGACGTGCGTCTCTGTTCATGCCACACACTTTCCTAAGTGACAGTAGGTGGGCTATTTTCACAGTGAACATCGGCTAAGAGATAATGGCCTCACGACTACACTTATCTCCGCGTGCAGATAGGGACCTCCACCACAAAACGTTGGGCAATGACACCTGCTTGCAGATCAGCCTGAGCATGCCTCAAGGGATTGTTCTAGAAGTGTGTGTGTGTGGGCGGAGGAGAACCTAGTCTGTGTTTTGTTTTAAATTATTTTCTCTCTTTGCATATGTGTTTGAAACTAAGAACATTCACACGACAGTCGTTTTCCTCTTCTTTGATGTTTACGGAGCCCAGTTTTTATTCTGATGGTTCAATTCCTCTTCCATTCTTGAGAACCAGATCAATTCCTGATTGATCAGAACTAGTCGTGGTCCCTTGTCCCCTACTCTTGTGGAACTTATGCATGGATCTGTGACCCAGCATATGTTCTCTGAAATGAGACGAAATCTGCTGAACTGGAGACTTTTTGTAAAGGTTTCTTTACTCTTTTTTTTTTTTTTTTGAGAGTTTTTTGCTATAGGGTACATGCGCTCACAGAAAGAGAGATGGAGAGACAGAAAGCGAGAAATCACCCTCCGGGGGGATGGCCACGCTGTAATCCCTTTTCCTCCATTCTCCTCTCAGGATTTTGGGCATGCATGCACACACACTCAGCCTGAGTTTAAGCCACCAGGTCTGGGACTTGAACTGCAGTCGACTACTTGGGAGTCCAGTGACACAGCCATTACCCTAACTGCTGGTTCCAAGGTTTCTTTACTCTTAAGAAGAACATTGTGGGTGGAGGGCCAGCAGGAAGTACAGTGGTTAAGGTGCTGGATTCGCACCTAGCTGGCCACATTTCAAGTCTTAGATCCAAAGGCTTGAAAATAATGCAGGGCACATGTACATGCATGCCCCAAATCCCAAGAGGAGTTTGGAGGAGAAAGGACTGTGGTGTGGCCATCTCCCATTGGGAGGTGGGGAGGGGGTGCAACTTCTCACTTTTCCTCTTTCTGTCCGTCTCTCTGTGTCTCCGGAGAACACATGGACTCTATGGCAAAAACCTTCAAAATCAAAGAAGGACACTGTGGATATGAGGACGTGAGTGTTGGTGCTGTGGCATCACCACTTAATAAATCTCTTCTTTTTTCTCTTCTTTATTTTTTTAAAGACATGGGTCTTTTTTTATTTATTTATTTACTCTTTGATCAGAGAGGGACAGAGTGAGAGAGTGGAAGAGAAAGGGAAAGTGAGAAAAGCCACCAGTTCTGGGACTCAAACCGCAGTCGGCCATGTGGGAGTCCAGCGCCCCCAACCACTACGCCACCTGCTGGTCCCAATACGATCTCTTCTTGAAACCATGAGAGGAGAAGCCTGAAGACCAAAGCTAACAAACGGAAGATGGCAGAGAAGGAAGGGGGGTGGGGGATGTGAATGCTTGGTGAAGTGAGTCTTGAATCAAGCACCTGGACTAGGAATTTCTGTGGGGTGAGATGATAAATTGTCCTAGCGCTGAAGTCATTTTGAGTTGGGTCTTTTTATTTGCAGATGAAAGTTCTTAACTGATCATTCACAACTCTGTATTCTTCCAGAGAGCAGCAATGAATGTTATCTCCACATTTCCCCTGGTAACAGCTTTCGCTCTCAGCAGGGAGAAAGAACTCATCTGGGTGTTCGGGGAAGTATCATTTTTTTGCCGAAATGCTCTGTTCTCCTTCTGTGCATGCCCACTTCATGCTGTCCTCCACATCACAGAAATGTCTAGACTAACCACTCTGTCTTGCTTTCTTCCTTTCCCTCTCTCTGTCTCTGTGGTGAGCACATGCGCCCTACAGCAAACTTTAAAATAATAATCGTAACTAGAATAAAATATATAATTTTCGGTTCATAGAGGAATTTTTTTTTTGGGGAAGAGGTTTTTGCTATAGGGCACGTGCATTTGCCAGAAAGACAGAGAGAGACAGAGAGACAGAAAGTGAGAAATCACCCCCTCCAGGGGAGATGGCCACGCCACAATCCCTTCTCCTCCATTCTCCTCTCGGGATCTTGGGCACACACGCACACGTGCCCGGCGTGAGTTTAAGCTACTGGGTCCGAGACTCAAACAGCAGTTGACTGCATGGGAGTCCAGTGACATAGCCATTACGCTATCTGCGGGTACCATAGAGGAATTTTTTACTTGTATCTTTTAGTTGTCACGCTTGTAGGTGAATCTAATAATATATCATATTTAGACTTAAAAACTTTTTTTTAACCTTCCTATACTGTTTCTTTATTTGATTGAAATGGAAAAAATATAGATATATTATGGGGTAAATGCAAAATATATATGCATTTCTAAGATAGCATATGAAATCATGAATGAATTTTGTACCTACAGCTGCTTGTTCCAAAATACTTCCTGGATCTCTCTCTGTACCCTTAACCTTTTTTTAAAAAAAATAAATATTCAATCACCATACATCACTACAGCTTATAAAATGAATTTACCCAACATGAATATACTTCTCATCATCCAGTTGAAGATATCATACATGCTATCATCAACAGACAATCCTCCATTTCTGTGTCCCTCAAATGTCTTGTCTCTCTATTTTTCTCCTTGATTCCTTTCCTCTTACTCTCCCCCATCTCTCATCCTCTTTCTCCACTGTCTCCAGTATCCATAACCATTTTCCATGCTTCTATATCCTCTAATTTTCCAGTTTCTGCCATAGAGTGCAGACAGTTGGTATATATTAAGTGGAGACATACAATGTCTCTCTTTTATAGCCTGGTTTCCTTCCCTCAGCAGATCTTCAATATTTATCCTCTTTCTATCAAGTGCCAGGGTCTTGATGTTTTTTATAGCTAAGTAGTATCCCTGAGCACAGTTAGCTCAGCCTCGTTGCACTCCCCAAACACAGTGTCTCTGTGTTCTCGGCTGCAGCCCTGCCTTCAGGCACCCTCCATGGTCCATTCTGCTCCGTCAGCCCATCTCCACCCTGCAGTGCAGGCAGTGGGAGCCATAACCTTTGCAGTCCCACCCAGCTAGAACTGAATCACTTACAGTCCAGAGAGCACAGGCAAACTGATGAGTTTTTCTGAGCCTCAGCTTCCTCAGGGAGAATGCCATTTGTCTCGAGGAGTCAGAAGGAAAACTTGAGAGTGATGTGGCACGTGCCCTATGGACAGTGGAGGCTCGATAAATAGCTCTTCATCCAAGAAGCACTCATAAAGAGTCCACCATGACCCAAACACCCTACCAACTACCAGAGATGCTGCAGTGAGTTGAACCAGACATGACCCCTGCCTTCATGAGGCTTCCAGTCTAGAGAAGGAGACAGACACTAGCAATCACAAAAATCATCGTAACTAGGGACCACCAATTAGCGTAATAGCTATGTCACTGGACTCCCACGTAGTCGACCGCAGTTCGAGTCCCAGACCCGGTGGCTTAAACTCACGCCAGGCACGTATGCGTGCGTGCCCAAGATCCTGAGAGGAGAATGGAGGAGAAGGGATTGCAGCATGGCCATCCCCCCTGGGGAGTGATTTCTTGCTTTCTGTCTCTGTCTCTCTGTCTTTCTGGTGAGCCCATGGGCCCTATAGCAAAGACCTCTCAAAAAAAAAAAAAAAACTGCCACAATTTAACAGAACTTGAAGTTTAATTTGGGTCATCTGTAAGCCAAGTTTCCATTGAATTCCAAGTCAATTGTCAGCACATAGTAAGTGACATGAAGGGAAACATCATTTGACTTCTCAAAAATTGTGTAATGGCCGTACCTCACAGAGTGTGTAACACTCTAAACTCCTGCTGAGAAGTCCCAGGCCTGAGCTTGACTCACCTATTAACTAGGCATACTCAGACAAGAAAAAATGAGACTGCTAGAATTCTATTTGCCAAATATCAATCCTTAAATTTTACAAATAGAATGTCAGTTTGCAATCCGGGGGGAAAGAATGGGGTTCCAGAAGAACCTCTGTGAGCTGGAACATGGATTCCTCTTAGGTTGCTGATGTGGGAGAGAAAAATATCTTTTCTGTCTAACTTTCTAACAATAAACTGGTGTTTGAGGCCTCTATAACAAAAGATTAACAAGAGAAAAACACAGTAATTTATTTAAGTCCACTTTCTCCTAAACTAGAAAATGAAGACCCAAAGAAACAGTTAAACATGAGTATTTTCAAGAGTAGGCTTGATAAGGAATGGAGAGTTGTGTAGAAATATTATAGGGCAAGGGACCGGCAGGTGGCGTAGTGGTGAAGGGCACTAGACTCCCACATAGCTGACCATGGTTCGAGTCCCGGACCTGACGGATTGCTCTCTCACTTTCCCCCCCTCTCTCTCTCTCTCTGTCATTCTGTCCCTCTCTGGTCAAATTAAAATAAATAAACAAAGTTACATAAAATAATTCTTAAAAAAATATACCAGAAATATTATAGGGCAAGAAGAGTATCATCTAAGAGTAATAAACTTGAGGATATTTAGCCAGGCTTGCTTGCTCAGGGTCTTCTCTGTTTTCTGTGCCTTAAGAGATAAGGATGCCCTTTTCCTCTGTATATACAGAGGGCACCTCTCGCACCTCTTAAGTTTCAGAGAAAGATCAGAAAATGTTTTATTACTTCCTTCAGAAGAAAAGGGTGGTGTGGGAAGGTCAGAGTGACCTTCCTGCTGCTGCTGTTTTCTCGAATTCTTTCCATTTCAGATATTCAAGATGCCCAAGAGTCGTAGGAATTTTTGAGGCGCATATTCTAAAGCCCATCACTAAATATTAAATCTAATCGAATAGGAGCATGTCCTAAACCCTGTCATTTCATATTAAATCTGGTCCTAGAGTTAACCTCTGGAAATCCACTGAAAGGAACAATTTCAACCATCGAATGATGCCAGGAGAAGTTTCACCTTAACTCTGGGAAAGTATTTTTATATTTTTCAGTGTTAAGCTCTGCCATCTCATCTTTGTGTGCTTTTATTGTAATTAATAACTATAATTATTCTTGACACTGCTAACTGTAACAAACATGAAAGCCAAAAGAACCAGAGGAAGCATTTTGCTATTAGATTTAAATACTCAGCTGCTTCATTTAAATTCATCTTATTTGGATATCTTTGAATTTTTTTTTAAAACATCGTGGTGCCAAAAGGAGGCAAGATTTTAAAATGCAAACCGATGTATGACTGAACACCCCAAGCACACTGAAGTAATTTGCCAAATAGAAACAATCCATCCATGTAGAAAACACCATCAAATCAGCATCCACAAGGCAGCCCAATGACAAAAAGGATTTTCATTCTTGACCTTGTTTTTGGTTCATTGAGATCAAAATCCTGGGTCCATCCTAAAAGAATACTAAAAGAGAAACAAGAGCATAAACATTCTCTGGCTGTTTCCCTGGGTTGCATCAGCTTGTTATCCATAGCTCATCACGGCTTCTTGAAAGAAATTCTTGTCCCCTTGGTCTCAAGGGTCGAATAAATCTCTGGAATCAGTGTCCAGCAATGTGTCAGCATTCCCACTGTTTTCCTGCTGTACATCCATCCAGGCTGGATCCAAACATTTGCCAATCTACTCATTCCCAAAATAAAACGGAGTATTCTTCAAAAGAGTCCAATCCAAATTGCCTGCAGATAGTCTGAAGATGAAAAATAAAGCAAATATTATTCTCACAACAATTTTAAGTATTATTTTAATCAGAATTGGTATATGTATATATATATATATTTTGAGAGATTTTTGTTATAGGGCGCGTGCGCTCACCTGAAAGACAGAAAGAGACAGAGAGACAGAGAGTGAGAAATCACACCCCGCCTCCCCGGGGTGGATGGCCACACTGCAATCCCTTCTCCTTCATTCTCCTCTCTGGATCTTGGGCATGCACGCACATGCACCCTGCGTGAGTTTAAGACTTTGGGTCCAGGACTTGAACTGTGGTCGACTACATGGGAGTCCAGTGACATAGCCATTACGCCAACTGCTGGTCCCAGGTATACATTTCAAAACCATATATTAAAACTGTGTCTTGATGGGCTAGCAAGTTAAGGTTAAGGTGTTAAGGTGCTAGATCTCACATATCTGATTGTAGGGTTCAAGTTCCAGACCCTGATAATGAAGGGTGCATTCCCATGCGATCCCAAAATCGCAAGAGAAGATCAGAGAGGGGATTGTAGCATCGCAATTGCAGCATTGCCATCCCCGTTAGGGGGTGATTTCTCACTTTCTCTCTCTTCCTCTCTCTCACGGGCCCTATAGCAAAACAAAAACAAAACAAAAATGTCTCTTGGACTGGCTGTGTGGCCTCATGCTTAAGGCAGCCCAACCTCACATGACCAACTGCACAGTTCAAGTCCCAGAATCTGCGCCTTGAGAAATTGCTGAGCGTGTCTGCCTGCGTGTCCAAAATCCTCAGAGGAGGAGGGGATGAGGACAAGGGGTTGCAGAGTGACCATTCTCATTGCAGGGGGCGGAGGGCGCTTTCTCTTCACCCTCTCTCAATCTCTCTGTTTCTCCCGTGGGCACAAGTATGCTCTAGGAAAAACAAAGAGAGAGAGAAAGAAAAGCAAACAATTAAAAAAAAAACTGTGTATTATAAGAACACCAAAGACTTACTCAAGTCACTGATTAAAAGCCCTTTTCAATCCTACCCTGTGCAATGGCACCACCATGATATCCCTGACAAAGCTATGTGCTTCATGGGAACCAGCAGTTAGCGTAATGGCTATGTCGCTGGACTCCCACGTAGTCAACCGCGGTTCACATCCCAGACCCGGTGGCTTAGAACTCACGCCGGGCACGTGTGCATGCGTGCCCAAGATCCCGAGAGGAGAATGGAGGAGAAGGGATTGTGGTGTGACCATCCCCCCTGGGGGGTGACTTCTTGCTTTCTGTCTCTCTCTCTCTGTTTGTCTGGCGAGTGCACATACCCTATAGCGAAAATACCTCTCAAAAAAAAAAAAAGCTATGTACTTCATGACAATATACTTCTCCACCTAAGGGCCTACCTAGCCTGGGCTTCCACTATGTGTGTAAAATGAAAGTGAACATGGTCAGGCAAATTTCTTTCCGTGATAACATTCCAGGGTTCTAAAAGCAGTGGAGATTTATCCAATTCATCAACAAATTCTTATTGTGCCTCTGTTAAACATGAGATAGCGTGTCCTCTGAATGAAGGGTCTCTGTTATAATCACTTCTCGCTTAGTAAACTCCTTGATCATATCACTCTTCCCTGGGATTATGGCTTCCCTAATCTGATTCCTCCGCGGACTGCATTGTTATTTTTTGCTGAAGACTAGAAGAATTTTTGACACTCAGGAGGTGCTCAAAAAGCACTTGGTGGAGGAACCAAGGGGAGTTCTTTAGAGACAAGGTTGAACATCCCAGAGCCAGGACCCATCCCAGATGAGAGGTTCAAGCATAGCTCCCAGCAAAGCTTCGCTGACACTGTCCTACCACTATAGGTTCAATTCGCCCTGGGGATTTCTGAGCCAGCGGCAGACCCTGCTGTACTAAGACCTGTCTCTCTTCAGACCTAAACACAAACAAATCGTCAGTGCCTAGTTTCAGTCTGATGTGAGGTGACATCCACGCTGGACCCTGTGTACAGCCTGCAAGGTGCCAGGGGAGGCCAAACCACGTGGCTGCCTCAGCTGGGCTCAGTGCCCTCTGACTTTGGCTAGGGCTGGCCAGTGGGGAAACAGCACATCTGAGACAGGAAGATCAGCAAAGTGGGAAGACATGTTCTCTCTTCGGAGTATGGCAGGTTGTAGGGTCCCTTGACCAAGGTCACAGTTCCTGTTAGCCCCCAACATACATATCCGTTCTGTGAGTGTGGGTGGGTGACTGGGTGCCCGCATGCATGTGTGCCTCCACCTCTGTGTCTCTGAGCTCCTTGCCCCTTTAGTCTTTTTTTTTTATATTTTTTATTTAACTTTATTAATTAATTTATTTATTTTAATTTGATCAGAGAGAGACAGAGTGAAAGAGAGAAGGAAAGTGAGAAAGCAAGCCACCGGGTCCAGGACTCGAAGCATGGTCGGCCATGTCAGAGTCCAGCACCCTTAACCATCACGCAAACTGCCGGTCCCGTCTCTTTAATCTCAAGGACAACGGTGGTGACATGTTATGGCCAGTCCCAGGATACAGTCTTCTCCCTTCTGGTTTTGGATATCCTGGTTCAATAGGCCCTTTGTTAAACTTTCTTCGGATTATTCAATTTGAGTGTTTCCTGCTGGGACTTTGACTAATAAGCATCCAAGTATTATGAAGGGTAAGTGGTATAGCCGGTTACCACCAACCTCAATAAGAGGGTACTAATAAATGCTAGTTTCCTTATTGATTCATCACAGGATATGTGCGTGCATATGCAAGAAGACAGAGGGTGAGTGAGAAGCTTCCCCACAGGGCTCAGCACACTGTGAGCTCCCTCCTCCAGTCCTCCAGCCCACTGGAATCCTGGGCATGAGCTGGAGCCCAGCCAGGCCAAGGACTTCAACCTCTGTTGGCAAGCATGTGGCTTCCCACTCCTCAGGCTGGTAAGCTACCGACTGCACCAGAGAGGCTGGGTTCTGCTGTTATTTTTATTTACCTGGTGCAGTAGCTATACATCATGTCTTTAACACAATAGCTACTTCATAAATACTTGTTGACCTCCTGAAGACCAAACACTGCCAGGTGGCTGCGCTGAAGCCATGTTGCTTCTAAGCTCTCCAGAATCCCGCTGGATATTAAAGTTCCATCTTGAGGCCAGACTCGATTCAGATCAGACCAGCGCTTCTTCATCTGCTGGTGGCTGCTCCCTGACAGTGTTCTGTCTGCAGAGCGTCATCCTTGATACTGAGGAATGTGACTGGTGGTGTGTGAGAGGGAAACGGGTCAGGGAGAGCACCCCCTGCTCCTTCGTCTGGTCCTGAACAGTGGCACTCAACCTTCTCACAGCACTCGGTGCAAACCATGTCTCAGTCCATCGAGGTCTTGGACAGGTGGACCCAGAGAGACTTACAGTACGTGGAAAAGATGGAGAAGCAGATGAAAGGGCTGGAGTCCAAGTTCAGGCAGGTGGAGGACAGTCACAAGCAGCACCTGGCCAGGCAGTTCAAGGGCTAACTTAAAAGCGTTTTTCCAGTGCTGCAGGGACTCCAGAAGCAGCCACTCCTTGTACCCAAAAAGAGCCAGAGAGGTTTTGCACCATGCGTTTTACTGTGATTCCCACACTACTGCCATCCCACTAAGGAGCCTCCGCACAACCAGGACCCTCCTTTGCATGCGGCTGCAGATGCATTTTATGACTAGTTTGGACTCTTGTCAATGCATTTGTTGGAAAAAGAAAGAAAAAAAGAACTTTGTGTATGTGACTTAACGCATATAACCTTAAGATGTTGCATTCTAAACTGACAATGAAGACCTCTCCCCAAAAAATAAAAAATAAAAAATAAATATTTGTTGAATAAAGTTTTAAGATGTCTAAGCCACTGCTAATCATGGTTTTAGATTTAAATACATGTACATCCGTGTATTAATCTAGATGATTAGATCTTCTATTTAGAGAAGTTTTGTATTCCAGTAATTGGTAGAGGGGGTTCTACAAACCCCATTCTCACTTTTCTCATGCTCCAACTCAATTACGACTTCATTCCAGGAAAAACAGTGTCAGAGGATGAGCTGACATCTCAAGAGTGGTGTAACAGACTAAGATTGTTACAGTTCACTGATCCTTCTTAGAAGTTCCAGAAAATAATGATTTCATTTCATGTCGTCTAATTGATATGAACTGGCTTTGCAAGTTCATCACTTTCTTCCTCCTACACCCAGAGAGAAATGTAGTTTGGGATAAACTATACCTCCTGGAATCTATTTATGTTTGTAATAAATAAAGACAAACAGTCAATAAAACCGAATCGTCACTCACCATGTATATTGATCTTGCTGATGCAGCATGGAAGTCGTTTCTAGCTCTGGTATCGGGGGAAGCACTTCTTTGTCCTCAGCCAAAGACAGCCTTTGCGTAGTCTCTGCCACTTAAGGAGAACTATTTTAGTCTAAATATTGTCCATTGCAATGCAAAAAGAGACACAACATCGTCTACCATTGTTAAGTGTGGTTTAGAGAGCCAGGCCCTACAACTGGGAAGGCTTGTCACAGTTTCCACCTTTCATTAAATTTCCTGGGACCAGCAGTTGGCATAATGGTTATGGTGCTGGACCCCCATGTAGTCGACCGCAGTTCTGGACTCAGTGGCTTCATCTCATGCCAGGCGCATGTCCGTGCGTGCCCAAGATCCCAAGAGGAGAATGGAGGAGAAGGGATTGCGGTATGGCCATCCTTCCTGTGGAGAGAAGGGGGTAATTTCTCACTTTCTGTCTCTCTGTCTCTTTCTGTCTGTCAGAAAGACACGCGCTTGCCAGAAAGACAGAGAGAGGACAGACAGAAAGTGAGAGATCACCCCCACGGGGGATGGCCACACCGCAATCCCTTCTCCTCCATTTTCCTCTCGGGATCTTGGGCACGCACACACATGTGCCTGGCGTGAGTTTAAGCCACCAGGTCTGGGATTCGAACCCTAGTCAACTATGTGGGAGTCCAGCAACATAGCCATTATGCCAACTGCTGGTCCCCTACACATGCACCCTATTTTTAAAAAACTTTTAAAAAGGAGCCTATTAGAAACTAAATTATTATCAAAGAAAATTAACAGAGTTCTTTGGGTTGAAAAGTCCAACTGTTCACCATTGCCTATTCATTAGGTTTCCTGATATTTTATAGCACAGTGTAAGTATCATTTATTATAGAAAGGTATTACCTGTCAAAATGATGGCTAGTCCAAAGTAGCTCTCTAGTGATGCATTATCTTCTGTTTTTCCTAGTATTTAAAGTCAGGGAACTTATATGCTAATAGCAAAACTTCTAAAAAATTGATAAAAAGGCAAAAGGTAGGATATATGTCATTTTAATGCCTTCTTCAGAATAGCTAAAGCAGATGGAATCATTTTCTAGTTCTACACTGGGAAATGGAGTTTCTTTCAAAAATATGAATTCACCAACATTAGTCAAGACAGCAGAAGCAGTCAGAAGTGTTTTAATACTTTGCAAAATTCTTTTTATAAATTTGTCAAATCTCTGAACCAAACATTTCTTCCACTTTTCCCCCTCAGGATCTCAGAAGAGCATAAAAATTTTAAAAGAACTTCAGTGTGAATTTTGACCTGGCTGAAGCTAGTGAACAAAATTAATTCCCAGCAGAAGAAACTTGGGTTAAATATAAGACTGTGCCCGTGTTGTTGAATAAAGTCTCTCTCACATGGTCCATGGCAACATCCAGAGTGCCCTATAATGCTTCCTTCTTTTCTTCTTCTATTTTTTTTTCTTGAATTTATATCAGTTTTCAAAGGTGTTTTATATCTATGACATCTGGTACCTAACCTCAATTCATCTTTCTGAAGTAATTTTTGATTCCCACCGAGTAATGGAAACTTGCCAGGTGTTTTCATTACTTTGTTCCTGATCATTGTCAAAGACAAAGTACCTCTTCCACCATAAGGGCACATCTAAAACCTCCTCATCCCAGTCAGCCTTTCTTGGCTGCGAAGGGAATTTGTCCCATTAATTTTATATATATATATATATATA